GGTGGGCCCAGGCTGGATTTGAACCCTCCACCTTAGGTGTATGTGGCTGGCGCCTTAGCCACTTGAGCCACAGGCGCCAAGCCTGGTCGCATACTCAAAACCTCAGCGATCCTCTTGCCTCAGCCTCCCAGAGTGCTAGGATTATAGGCGTGAGCCACTGTGCCTGGCCTTTCTCTCTCTCTCTCTCTCTCTCTTTAAACAGAGTCTCACTCTGTCACCCTGGGTAGACTGCTGTGGTGTACTAGCTCACAACAACCTCAAACTCTTGGGCTTGAGTGATCCTCTTGCTTCAATCTCCCAAGTAGCTGAGACTATAGGCATGCACCATGACATCCATCTAGTTTTTCTATTTTTATTATTTTTTTACTAAATCATAACTTTGTACATTGATGAATGTATGGGGTCCAGGGTACTGGGTCAATGTACAATGGGTAGTTTTTCTATTTTTAGTAGAGACAGGGTCTCACTCTTGCTCAGACTGGTCTTGAACCCCTAAGCTCAAGCAATCCTGTGTGCAACCTGCCTCAGCCTCCCAGAGTGCTAGGGTTACAGGTGTGAGCTCCTGTGCCCGGCCACAGGCTGTTATTTTAATTACATCTACAACATAGTGGCAGTCACAGGTTCCCCAGTTTAGACTGTGAACAGGGTTCTCTTTGAAACTTTTGTGTCTCTTTCTCCTCTAACCCCCTCAAAAGAATGTAATCAGGGCAGAAACCTATGATAAACACGATTTCTCTTTCCTTATAACCTAGCCCATTCTTCTCTTCAGGCTTCCTTTTCTTTAAATGCATCTGGTTCCAGCAGGGAATCTTTGGCGCAGCAATGCTGAACCGGCTGTAGCCAGCGTTATTCTGAGCTGCCTACCTGTCTGGGTGGCTCCATCTGCTACCCAAGGGATCAGAAGCAGCAGTTTTCTCTTAGCTGCACACCCTGTGGGACTTCCCAGCTGGGATTAGTTACAGGGGCAAAGAACCGGGCAAACATCTTTCCCCGTCCCTGGAGACGGTAGAGGCTCCAGTGCTTGTCTCATGGGTTTGAGTCAACATCTCAGAAGTGGAGGCTGGAGGTGACAGGGAAGAAGGGGAAGGATGACAAGATTGGCTTGGATCTCAGCTCCAGTCAGCTGGAAGCATAGGCTGAATCTAACAAGGGCACATTTATTCCTGTTGATAGTCTGGTTCTTTGCTTTGGATCAAGTGGTCAGCTGCCCAAGAACAGGATGGGGAGGGCAAACTTTTAATCTCTGTTTTAGTAGGTGGGAATAAGATCTACCTGTAACAGGTGTCACTCAGCCTCCTTGAAGGGTAGAACTGATTCTGTGTGAGGCCCAGGCTGGGCCCCCTTCTCTCCTTTGAACCACAGACATCCCTCTCAAAGAGTGGCAATCTCTAGAAAATATAGGAGAATCTCTCTAAGTTGACCGCCTAAGATACTGTAACAAACAGGTCAACATACAGAGGTGGTCAACATAAGGAACTAGGCCTACTGTATTGATACGTACTGTGGTGCATGTCTGGTCTATCAAAATTAGGTCAACTTAAGGAGGTGGTCAGTGTAGGGAGGCGGTCACTTATGGAGGTTCTACTGTATAGGGAAACATTCAATCCAACTATCTCCAATCTAAGCGAGTAAGAGTGAAGGTCCCCCGTCTGAAGGTTTGGGGGACCTTCTCAACATGCATACACACACATACACACAGGTGCACACACACACATGCAACCTTCAATGGCACAGCTGGAGGTAAAACTGTTGTGTGATGTTGTACACACTGGAGCCAGAGAACCCAAGGTTTAATCCTAGCTTTTCCACTTACTATGTGTGTGTCTTGGGGCACGTTAGTTAATCTCAATCTCCTCATTCCTAAGCAGTGACAGCTACAGTTACTCCGCAGGGCTTTCATGAGCATTAAATGAGTTAGTGTTCGTGAAGACAGATGGATGTCTGAGCACAGCATAATACGGCTTTGTTAAATAATAAAACATATACCCTGCTCTGCGAGGATAATCTGGAACCCTGTTCTTTGGTCAAGTATCCTTTAGTAGCTCCACTTCCCTGCTAGAAGTTAGAATTAAATTCTGAAATTATTTAATAGGCAAAGATTCTAGGGTACCTTCAGACTGAACAAATGTGGTTGTTGGTTGACATTAGCAGAAATGTACTTTTGGGATGAAAACCAAGGAGGTGACAGTTCTGTTATCCTCTGCACTGGCCAGATCACAGTTACAGTCAGTTCTTCTCAGAGCCAGAGTCATTTTGGGCGTTCTTTCTAGTGACTTTTAAGTCTTCTGGTCAACGGTCTGGTGGCGAATCAAAGTGTTTTCATCAGAGTCAACATTCCTAAATGAAGCCCTCATTCTGTCCCTCTGTTTAAATTTGTTCCACTACAGTGACCAGATTTTGAGACTCCAGCCAATAGATCTTTCTGGACACCCATCTTACAGGCCCTACCTAGAGCATCGAAACCTATAAATACTATGAAAGCTGGAGATGAAATATTGGCAAGGCTGGAGAGGAAACTTGAAATATGATCAACGCAGGTTATTGGAGACGATCCAAGTGGTTAGTCTGGAAGTTGGAACAGGTAGAGAACCATGAGAGCTGGTTTCAAACCATGGGGACGGCTGTCACCAGAGTGGAAGTGACAGGAACAGCACAGTCAATACCGAGATGCTTGGGTTATATATCTCTTATCTAATTAAACCATCACAACATTCCGGATGGAAGCTGCCAGGACTGCCACAGGCAAACAGATGGAGAAGAGATAAAAACCACCGGCCACAATCCCCTAATTGGTGTGTGCTCCAGCCAGCCCGGGGATTCTAGGTCATCAAAACTTGCAGTCTCATCTCATCATGTCACACCAGGATTGCATAATATGCACGCAAGGCGGAACTTGCTAAGGTTGGAGCAGGGAGCATGGTGTGGGAATTATGTAGTGGTTCCTTGTTACCAAAGATTTCTAAGCCAGTGCTTGCTGTGTGTCATAAAGTATGCTGAAAAGGTGATTTAGGAGAGTTGAAGTAGATAATCCAGAAAAGCACTTTCCAGCTTCAGAGATCTTGAGTTTCTATACTTCAGATATATTAAATATTTTTTTCCCTCCTCTGTATTTTCCAATTCCTCTTCCATTCCACCCCCTTCTGCAATTCAGGGAGATATTATGTTCTGGGAACATGCTTTTTGTTAAAAGGAGGGACGTAGTGGCAATTTGGGATAACTGAACAATCATTGCTAGTCTTCCTAGTTGTTGATGAAGTTTACTGAGGAGATTGTGTTCCATTCCTCCAAGGTGACCTTGTAAAGATTAGAAGAGAAAGCTATTACCTCACACCCCATCCCCAATACCCTGACACCAGGCAAACACACATCTCTAACTATAGGAGACTGAGGGCTAGGATTGATTTAAGATTATATTCTGTTATCCCTCGGAATGGGGACTTGTCATAGAAATTAGGTTGGCTTTTTGGAAATAAAGTTATATATACATATGTGTGTGTGCGTGTGTGTGTGGATATGGGGGGAGGCAGAGGGGGGGAAGAATGTCACTCTGTTGCCCAGGGTAGACTGCTATGGCATCATCATAGCTCACAGCAACCTTAAACTCCTGGACTCAAGCCATCCTCCTGCCTCAGCTTCCTGAGTAGCTGAGACTACAGGCGTCTGCCTCATGGTCCAACTATTTTTTATTTTTTTTCTTTCTGTTTTTAGTAGAGACTGGGTCTCGCTCTTGCTCAGGCTGGTCTCCAACTCCTGAGCTCAAGCGATCCGCTGGTCTCGGCCTCGCAGCGTGTTGGGGCTACAGGCATAAGCCACAGCACCTGGTCATAAAGTTCTATTTCTTAACACCTGAGACTGGGAAGGGAAACCTGCCTGAGTGAGGCTTGGAAGGTGCCGGTATTCCTTCCCTGAGCCCAACACGAAGGCGTTGCAAACCTCAAATTTTTGGTCCTCTGCTGCCCCTTTGTGGACTAGCTGAAAATAGCACTTCGCTTTCCCTAGCTGCAAGACCATGAACTTAGACTTGGGAGAAGCCGCGTTACACTAACTGGGGGAGGCTTATGAGTGAGAAAGTCAGGAACTGTCGCTGCCCTGGCAAGGCTGGGGTTCCCAGGAGGGTGGCCCCGAACTCTTTTCAAACTGTCCAATGACATCAAAAAAACGCTCTTCTTTTCCACAATCTTTATTTCTCCTCGAGACACTCAGATCCAATAAGCGAGTGACCATCGGCAGAGCGCCAGCCACGCATCTCTGGGATGGCCTTGGCCAGGAGCAGCAGCCGCAGGCGCAGCGCCAGCCCTCACACGCCTCCCTCCCAGCGCCCGGGCGGCAAGGCTCTGGGGTTCTCCTCCGGCTTCGCGGTTTTCACACCCAGTCTTTGCCGTCTGTCTACGCTACGGGCTTCACACAACGGCCCCGTCGCATTCGTGCGTCTGCGCCCCCGCAGGACACGGATGGCCCTTTCGTTTTGGTTCGTGAGAGGGGGGAACACTTAGGCACAAAGAGGGGAAGGGGCTGCAGATCGCCGGTCACACCCTGGCTGGAACCCAGGGGCGTCTGAATCCCTGGAGCGTCTTCCACCGACAGCGGGGCGGCCTCCTTCCCGGTCACCCGCACCGGGTCGCCCGCCCACCCCACTCCCGGCCCCTCCCGCACAGCCACAGTGGCCTGGGGCTCAGCCTCTCACTGTCCTGCTTCCAGGGGAGGATGGGTTCCCGGCTCCGGCCACCTGCCACCCGGCTTCCTCTTTCCAGCTGGGAGCCAGGGCCCCCCCAGGGCCCGGCTGCCCTCCCGTCCCCCCTCACGCCTCCAGACCCTGCCGCAGCCTGCGGTCCAGGGCCAGGAGCTGCCGCAGGAAGCCTCGGTTGGGAATGATTCCGCGGTGGTCCTTGACTTTCTTGATGGCCTCCACGAGGGTGAGGCGGTGGTACAGCATGAGGTAGGCCAGCACCAGCGTGGCGGATCGGCTCACTCCTACCGCACAGTGCACCAGGATCTTCCCTGCGGAGAGAGAGAGGGACAGCGGGGACACGGTTGGCGGTGGCTCCCAGGAGGCTGCCGGAGGGTAACAGACGGGACCAGGGAGACAGGTGTACCAGGCGCAGGAAGGCTGGAGCTCCTGCACACAAGTGGAGCTGGGCATTCGGATCCCAGCGCAGGGGCGGCGGCCTAGACCGACTGAGACCCAGGCAGCGAGCGGCAGCTCAGTGTCCGTCCCCAGCGAGGGGCGCAAAGGTTTACTCAGCACCGAAGTGAAAGCTCAGAGATGCCCTGTGTCTAACCAGGCCTCGCCTCAGTCTCCCCATGCTTCTAGCTTGCTATTTTTCTCAACCATTGAATGTATTTTTATTCACATATATATGAATATGAATATATATATTCAAATATATATATTTGAGACAGAGTCTCAAGCTGTCGCCCTCAGTAGAGTGTCGTAGCAACCTCCAACTCTTGGGCTTAAGACTCAGCCTCCCAAGTACCTGGGACAACAGGCGCCCGCCACAATGCCCGGCTATTTTTTGGTTGTAGTTGTCATAGTTGTTTGGCAGGACTAGGCTGGATTTGAACCACCAGCTCCAGTGTATGTGGCGGTGCCCTAGCCCCTGAACTACAGGCATTGAGCCTCACATATTTTTTTCTGATCATGAAAACTTTTTTTTTTTTTTTCAGACAGGAGCCTTAAGCTGTCCCCCTGGGTAGAGTGCCATGGTATTTCAGCTCACAGCAACCTCCAACTCCTGGGCTCAAGCGAATCTCCTGCCTCAGCCTCCCAAGTAGCTGGGACCATAGGCGCCTGCCACAACGCCTGGCTATTTTTTGGTTGCAGCCATCATTGTTATTTGGTGAGCCCAGGCTGGATTCGAACCTGCCACCTTGGGTGTATGTGGCTGGCGCCTTAGCTGCTTGAGCCACAGGCGCCGATCCAAAACATTTTTATACTATGTTTAAGGTAAAAATAATTGGAAAGTATAGAAACTATATAAACAAAATCATTTTAAAACTCCATTGCTTTAGGTAAAGAATTTATGACAAAGACCCCAAGAGCAAATACAACAGAGACAAAACTAAACAAAAGAGAGACAGTTAAACTGAAAAGATACTACACGGCAAAAGAAATAATCAGCAGAACAAACTGAAAACCTACAGTGCAGGAGAACGTATTCTCAAACCAGGCTCTGCCTCTGTAGTACAGTGGTTATGGTGCCAGCCACATGCAGTGAGGCTGGTGGGTTTGAGCCTAGCCCTAATCAACAAGGACAACTGCAACAAGAAAATAGCCGGGGGTTGAGGTGAGCACCTGTAGTCCCAGCCACTCAAGAGGCTGAGGCAAGAGAATTGCTTAAGCCCAGGAGTTGGAGGTTGCTGTGAGCTGTGATGCCATAGCACTCTACTGAGGGTGACATAATGCAATACTGTCTCAAAAAAAAAAAAAAATAGCTGGGTGTTGTAGCAGGTGCCTGTAGTCCCAGCTACTCAGGAGGATGAGGCAAGGAAATTGCTTGAGCCCAGGAATTTGCAGTTGCTGTGAGCTGTATCACCACCGCATTCCACTGAGGACAAGAAAGTGAGACTCTGTCTCAAACAAACAAAGAAACAACAACAACAACAAAACCAAAATAAAAGAAGAAAAGAAAGTATTCTTCAACTAGCATCCAACAAAGCACTAATGTCCAGAATGTACAAGGAGCCCAAACTAATCAGCAAGAAACAAACAACCCCATTAAAACTTGGGCAAAAGACATGAACTTTTCAAAAGAACACATACGAATGTACTATCACATCAGCTCTTTAACAAAACAAAGATGTACCAATGGCTAACAACCTGAGAAAATGTTCAATGTCACTAATCTTTAGGGAAGACGAAAATGAAAGCCACAGGGAGGCTCGATGGTTAGGGCACCAGCCATATACACCAGAGCTGGGGGGTTGGAACCCAGCCTGGGCCTGCTAAACAATAATAACTACAACAACAGCAACAAAATAGCTGGGAGTTGTGGTGGGCACCTGGAGTCCTAGCTACTTGGGAAGCTGAGGCAAGAGAATTGCTTAAGCCCAAGAGTTTGAGGTTGCTGTGAGCTATGACAGCACAGCACTCTACCAAGGGTGAAAAAGTGAGACTCTGTCTCAAAATAAATAAATAAATAACCCACAAGAGATACCACCTTATCCCTTCAGAACAGCCATTATTAAAAAACAAAAACAAAAATAAAAATAGATATTGGCACAGATGCCATGGGAAGGGAACACTTATCCACTGTTTGTAGGACTATAAATTAGTACAAGCTCCAGGGAAACCAGTATGGAGAGTTCTCAAAGAACTAAAAGTTGACTCCATTTGCCCCACCAATTCCACTACTGGGTATCTACTCAAAGGAAAAGAAATATGTATATACACACTGCCTTATATATAAAAATGCATTATATATAAAAATACCAATGCTTCTATGTTTAGATCCCAGTATAATCCACAATTGCAAAAGATACGGAATCAACCTCAGTGCCCATCGGCTGATGAGTGGGTAAAGAAAATATGGCACATTTACAGGATAGAGTAGTACTGAACCCCAGAAAGGAATGAAGAAAGGTCTTTCACCACAACTTGGACGGAACTAGAGACCATTATCCTAAGTGAAGTATCAAACAAATACCATATACACTCTCATTTATAAGCGGGAACTAGACGATGGGTACGCATGGGAACGCAGGATGGATAATGGACACTCAGAAGAGGAGAGGTTGGTGGGGGTGAGGGAGGCAAAATTCCCTACTGGGTATTATCCTGTGACAGCAATACTAAAAGCCTGGACTTCACCACTGTACAACTCATTCATGTGAGAAAAAGAAATTCGTGTCCCCTAAATAGATTGAAAATAAAATAAATAACATAAATAAAATCAAATCAAAACTCTATCACCTATAATCTCACCACCCAGGTGCAACTTGACACTTTTTTTTTTTTTTT